GGGGGGGGTCTATTGATAAATCAATAGGTTGGTTGCCTTTATTTTTTATGTTTTCAGTTCATTGTATTGAACACAATAGCTACCCAGCCCGCGTTCGACATTCTGTCACATATCCGTCTCTCTTTTTTAAAAAGGTTGGGTGGTACTTGCGTTATATAAACATTCATACAAAAAGAATTATACACCACACTTAAGCCTGTATGGTTTCTCAACACATTCTGATCTTTGTACGTCTGTCCTTTCAGATGGTGATATTGACTTTTTGTCCCACTATCGCCTTGTGGATCCAAAGAAACTTGAGAGTTACGCCAGAGCTTTTGTCGTTGAGGATGAAGACTTTGACACCGTCATTCGTTCAGGGGTGAGACTCACTTGTTCATTTGTTGTTGTTGTTGTTGTTGTTGTTGTTGTTGTTGTTGTTGTTGTTGTTGTTGTTGTTGTTGTTGTTTCATGTTATTTAATGTCTATATGAAGCGCCCTACTGGTCACTCATTGACCATTTTGAAGACGAGCTTCCGAGCTCAACAGTTTTAGTAAAAAATAAAAAAATAGACAGGGTGTTAAAAAAGGAAGGCAGAGACAATGCTCTAAAGTAATGTCATCTGTGTGCATCTAGGATTTTGTGTTGTGATCGTAACTGCTTTGTATCTTCACAAAGGATATAGTTCAACCCCCCACTCCCCACCCTCTATCCAAAACCAGTCATCTTCTGCAAAAACGAAAGCAAGCAGTTTGTTCAAACTCTGGAATGCTACGTGTAAGGTATCATGTGTGCGACAAGACAGTCTGTGATAGTTATATCTTTTTTCTGCTTTCCTCATTCAGAACATAAAACAAAGCCCATATTATCGTCTTTTGTTCATCTTCAGGAAACCAAGCAGGCTATTGATGGAATTGCTAGCGTTAATCACATCACGGAAAAGCAGCTCGACTATGTGTTTAAGGTAGGCTACTGGGTCATGGCGTATTGAATATTATCTTGTTGATATACTGTAACAACAAAGACAGTTTTTTTTGCTGTGTATGCCTTTACCAACTTTTTGATAGCATTTTATTTTGGCTGATGCTGTCTTGCCAATTTTCTCTTTAAATTATTTTCGTTATAGAAAAAGGAAAGACAATTATTATCCCCTGTTTCTGTTCACGTATTCTTGAATATCCTACCTTTTCTGAATCATGAGTAAAAGTCGCGTTCTTTTTTGATCGATGTATTTTTCTTTGGTGCACGTTCATAGTCGTCTTGAAAAATTCCTCAGGACAAAGTAAAGTTCATGCTTGAGATTTCGTTCAGCACCAATAAATATGCGACGTTGGAGTTTTGATCTCACACGTAAACAAAAACACAAGAGACCATTATTTTATATTGTACTTAATCCGCCTAATCAAGAAGTCTCACCGTTGTCCCTTATTTAGTAGTTAGAATTTTCACTGTTGCACGCAAAAGAAGTTAGTTCGCTTCCTGAAGTGGGGAAGGCATTTATCGAATCTCTCCATTTGGCTACATTAGAATTACAAAGTTCTCTCTGACATTTTTTGGCCGTTTTGATTTACTAATACCATGACGTCAAAACTTTATGTTCTATCTGCTCTATCTAAATCGTAAGTTTATTCGGAGTCGTTATTAAGATTTTCAAACAGTTGCATTCGAAAAAGCTTGGTATGGTGAGAAACTCATAATTTTTAACGTCAGGTTTCTCAAAAGTGGGTACTGAGCAGATAGAACATTGTAATTCTGAGGTAGCGATTTGTTTACTGTTGTATCTGTCTCAGCATGGGTTGGCGATGACCACTTGGGTCGAAGAAACCCTATATTCCAGAACACTCACCAAGTACCCGCTCAAGGGTTTCTAAACGAGAAGTTATTATGAGTGCTTTGTGTAACTGTGTGTGTGTGTGTGTGTGTGTGTGTGTGTGTGTGTGTGTGTGTGTGTGT